TTACTTAACAGTCTATAAATTCTTTTATTTCTTTAATTTCTTTACTTTATTAAATATCTATTTCATATTAATGTATTTTATATAAATATCCTGTATCTTTACCTTGATAAAAGGGCAGAGTCATTACAAATCTCAAATAAAACAAAAACATTTATCTCTAAAACTTGTCTTTACTTGTTTATAATTCATTCTTTTTTTAAATCTATATCAATAAAGATAACCTATACCTTCAATATAATTAATTTATGTTTATTTCTTCCATAGTTTAGACGTACTTAAACCTCCCAGTTAGCAAATAATTTCTGTTAACTTAACGATGAACCGTTTAAGCTTAACAACGGTATTACCAAAGTGATCTATCATAAGCAAGAAGAGGTAAATTGATCCACAGTATATAAAAGTGACATGACGTTCTTGTGATTGGTTATTCAGTAATCGGTTCGTATTTCAAGGCTCATAACGTTCTGAAGTTTCTGAAGTTTTAGTACATGAATGAAACTTGTGATTTTAAGGAATATCTATTGTCCGGAATTTTAAAATGTTATGAGGCAAGTTAATTTTCATAAATGCTAATAAAACTTTCCATTCTGAGGATTAAACTTTGATCATCACGAGTTTACAGTAAACTTAATCTAAAGGGAAAGTACTTCCCAGATCGTTAAATTGCGTAAGTTGAGAACAACTGCCAAATTATCACATCACATTAATAATTCCTTCTTGAATTCCGGTCATATGTGAGGATGTAATAGGTTATACTTCCAAAATCGGTTATGTTATAAAAGTCATTGGAAAAAATTATTAGACATTGCTAATATATATAGGATACTTGAACTAAATTAAAATCCCAAAGTCGAAATATCGAAATGACATGCTTTTTTATAAATATAAAAAATAAAAATAAACATGAATTATCGCCCTATCTATATCGCCCAGATCCTCAACTACCATTCGAATCCTTGCGACATAAAGAATCAAATACGCGCTACGGTTACAACCTCCTGCTAAATTTGGTATATTGTCAAAGCCACGAAATTTGAGTAATATAAAATATACAGTAAATTACTCATATAATATGATATTGGGACTATCCATGTATCACGAATTTCGAATTAAATTATAAATTATAAGTATTGCGTGCGTAATAGCTACATCAAGAAATATTTTTATTCTATTATTTCATTGAAATTTGTTTATTTTCTACAAATAACCGTGCTTTCCGGATGCATTTTAACAGATTTTGTATAAGAAAGACCTTTAATTTATGGAATCATATGGGATAATATGCACAACAGATTTTTCAATACCCCAAAATTTTTTTTACAATATTACAGACTGGGCAGGTCATTTGACATTGATAATTACCGGTAATTGTTTATCATTATTGTCATATTTTCAGCAATTGTTAATCCTCTTTAATAAAATCAACAACCAATATTTATCATATTTTTACGATTGTATTTTTATTATAAAAATTAATTGGAATTAGACGACAAAAGTCCAATGAATTGAAACGTAACGGAAATCTTGGAACGATATGCCGTTCAATTACTGCGCCAATCAATTTTTGTAATCAATGGTCTGATGAACAATAATGAAAAATGGCTTAATGTTATTTAGACTATTACATTATAATTAGACTCCTAGACCAATTTCTTCAAACCATTTCCCAAATTTACAAATTTGCAATTTCCCATTTACGAATTTTCTTATCACTCCCCCTCTCCTGCTTGTGTATATTTTGTAGACCGTGGTGTTCGTGATTTGATATTATACACGCATCCAAAATATTTTGGTAGAAATTCGCAATTATTAATATAATTTTGGTCATAATGCTTGACCAACCTTTCTGTTCACAGGCTGTATGCTGTAAAAGGCTTCTAATATTGTTCTGAAATAGTAACATTTCAAAAGGATTTTTAAATTTAAAAATTTTGGAATAATAATTCAATTGATGATTGAAATCGAAATCGAAACAAAAAAAATCAAAACTTATGAGTTAGGTGATTATCCTGAATGTTTTTTAATTACATATATAATTGTTGGAGTAGATTAAAAGCTACTTAGGCTTCGTAGTGATGAATATCATGCCAGCAAAGCGAGTTTTTTTTTATGATGGGGCTTAGCAGAGAACATTGTGCTTAGGCAAACACAAATCCAGGTTTTGAAATTAAATTGTAATCAATTTTTCGATGCATTAACTTAGCATTATTAAATGAATTTACAATAAACATTACAATACAATAAATATTTCAAATTTATTATAAAATTTATTATAAAAAGATCCCGTTAGATATATTCATATCGAAATTCCTTTCTTATCCGAATATTCTTAACAGTACATTTACACTCTACGGGTTCTCTCTCTAGCTGTGCCTCTTCAATCAACGATATTTTGGACCAATCACAATTTATTTAAAATAATTGTTTTAAAAGAAATTTTCATAATAATTTGTGGAGAGCCGAGCATAACAAAAATCTTGAAAAGGAAAACTTATGATAAAGAATCTGAGGTTTATTCAAAAACTTGGCAAGAATGTAGATTAATTCAATTATAAGTGACAAATTTTTATAAAATAATAATAAAATTATATATATTACTGTAAAACATTATTATCATTCTAATTAATACCGAGAAATTACAAATAAATGCCACAACATTATAATATAGCGGGATGAATAATTTTTTTTATTTTTTATTTTTTTTACTATTTTTTTTTTTTTTTTTTTTTTTAGGATTATGTAATCAAAATATTTTTTCATCAATGAAATACCAAACTTTATTTAAATGTTTCAAAAAGTAGATAATTATAAGTTTTTCACCAGAAATAAAGTTGGTATAATCCCATAAGATAAAAAAACTTAGAAACTTTTATTTAATTAAGAATTTCGCGATTATTGCTCCGAGCCGGCCGAGTCATTTGACCCGACTCGAGAAATATTTCGAATCGGGACTATCATTTTATGTCATGAGTCCTAATTTCTTAAAACCCGTCGGGATAGAGTCGCGATTTTGCTTGACCCGGGGTGACACGGTAATGGGATTAAATGATATAAATGATATGATTTAAATAATGAGCGAAACTATCAACCTTACTAATTCCGATAACATAGTTCTCTTGGAAATGAAAAAGCATTGCGAAGGAAATTTTTGAAGAAAATATTCTTCTACCTGAATATAAAAATTCAAACCCATCGTGAAATTAGATGTCAACTGCTCTTATGTATTTTTAATAGAGTTTATTGTGGGTTATTATTATTTTTTTTTTTAAAAAAAAATTTATAGGACATAAAACATGGCGCCGCAATATTGGTGATTCAAATGCAACAAATTTTTGGTGTTATTTCATCCAAATAAAAATGAAATTATTTTAATAAAGCAACGAATGTTCAGTTGAACGAGTTTAGAAGTGGTCTTAAAGCCGATACAATTCGCGCGTGTATGTGTTCGAATTCCTGGTGGCAATAATATATTAAAGAAATCAAATTTGAATTAATGTACCAAAAACTTCAAAAATAATAAACTTTCAAATTCAATGCACTTTTTTCATATTCTGTATAAATAAAAAAAAAATTTTTTTGGTATTAATATTACCTTAAAGATTCGAGTCGGGTCTAACAATGAACGGGTCGAGTCGAATTCGGGTCCTGTAAATATTAACGGTTCGAGTACGAATTTTCTTCAAACCCGACCCGACCTGCGACTCAATCACGGCTCATTCATTTGAAAATTCCGGAGTCTACTCCTCTTAGCTTAGTTTTTGCGGAGTTGCATCAGCCGTCGATCCCAACTTCAACTGGTATCAATAAAAAGATAATCATATTTCAAAAATTAATAATTCAACTTATATTCGTTCAAGGTAATGTCCTTATCAAAAAACCACATAAAATTAAATATTGTATCTAGGACTTTATTATTTTATGAATGTAGTATCAGAAATCCTACAAAGGAAGCTTATGATGAAAGAGAATTATTGCTTATAGTTATATATTTTTAATTTTTCAGATCTTTTTATTTTATTTTTATTTTATTTTTAAAGAAACGACAAAAGATATAACGCGTGGATCTCATTGTTTATGACTGATATACCCCGTTTTTAATTTTAATTTTATTTTATTTTTTTTGTTTTACAAACTTGAGTAAACCGAAACAATTTCAAGAATTGCAAAATTCAATGGTCAAGATAATGAGCCCTTAATCAGAAGTGTATGTACAATTAAATTTTTCTTTTTAAAAAATCTATATATATATATTTCTAATTCTACAAATTAAAGTTCAATTACGATCGGACAAATGTAACTTTAAAGTTAGATCATGTAAACCAATCACCTTAAATGCGCAACACTATACAATCCAACTAAGATGACATTACGTATTTATCGTTATTATTATTATTATTATTATAACAGTAGTCTTTAATAAACAAAAAGGTTCTGTAACGATGGAATGGGTATAATCTATTTTCAACTATTAAGAATATGTAAGTCGAAAGTAAACATATTTACGGCGGTACTAACGATAAATTAAATTGATTAAATTTTTTGGTGCCGGAAAAAATATATTTGGAAAAATTAATTTCAGAACATGAACCTAATAAACAATAATTTTGAAACAAAGAGGATGAAAAAAAAAATTATTCGATTTCGATAATAAAAACGTTTGAATATTTCGAGAATAAACTTTACGCCAATGTATTATAATCATCACCTCATTGGACGTACAAATGTCGGCAACAGAAATGGCGTTACATGTACATTTTTTTTTCATGAAAAAAAAAAAAGAATCTACATAGCCCAAATATAAACAAACATCACTTTTTGGTATTGTGTTACCAAATTCTACGGAAACTTCTGTTTAGAGTAACAAAGAAAAAACTGAAATTTCCTCTTATATAATAAGTTCGATAAAAAGAAAAAATTTTTTTTTTTCCTTCAAATTTTATAACTTTATAACAATCATAAGATTTTTTTTCTACAATTAATATCAAACTTTCTTATTCACCATGAAACAAACAGAAATGATTAATTCGACAGATAATTTTAGTATACAAATTGATAAATTATTCAAACTTTTGATTCATATGCAAGATGATGACAAAGATTTTGATGAAATAAAGCATCTTATTAATAGATGCATTTCTCTTTCTGATCGATCGGTCAATGATATTTATGACTGGCTTAAAGAAAGTCAAAAAGAATTGAAGAATATTTTTATTCTTGGAATATTTTCTTATTACAATCTGCTCGGTTTAAAAGATAATGATGATGAAGGATTTATATACTTCGTCAAGTCAGCTGAAACTTTCCCTATTGCACAAATATATTTAGATAAATGTTATAATAAAATATTTGGAACTGAAATAAATTACAATCTAGTAAGTAATTGGACGCAAAAAGAAGTTGAAAATGGAAATGATAGTATACTGAAAAATGACCATGATGAAATAATAACAAAAGCCGTTTATTGGCATAATATGACTGCAAAAAATGAAATTAAAAGTGTACAAAATATTCTTGATATTTTATATGTAAATGGTGAAAAGACCCTTTATGGCTATCAAAAAATAGCAGCAGAAAATGGATATAATTTCGCACAATTTAATCTTGGTAATTTATATTATCATGGTATAGAAATAGAAAAGAATTTTGAAATAGCATTTTATTGGTATCAAAAAGCTGCAGAAAATGGATTTATTAAAGCTATGTATAATTTAGCTGTATGTTATGAAAATGGTAAAGGAACAGAAAAAAATTTAAAAAAGGCATTTGATTGGTATCAAAAAGCTGCGGATAATAATGGAATTATTCATGCAAGGTATAATTTGGCTTTATGTTATGAAAATGGTAAAGGAACAGAAAAAAATTTAGAGAAGGCATTTCATTGGTATTTAAAAGTTGCTGAAAATAATAATATTGTTTATGCAATGTATAATTTGGCTGTATGTTATGAAAATGGTAATGGAACAGAAAAAAATTTAGAAAAAGCATTTTATTGGTATCAAAGGGTAGCAGAAAAAAATTATAATATTGCACAATATAAACTTGGTAATTTATATTATTATGGTAAAGGAATAGAAAACAATATAGAAAAAGCTTTTTTTTGGTTTCAAAAAGCTGTGAAAAATGGATCTATTAAAGCAATATTTAATTTAGCTATATGTTATGAATATGGTGAAGGAACAGTAAAAAATTTGAACAAGGCAATTTATTTATATCAAAAAGCTGCAAAAAATGGAGATAAAAATGCAAAATATAAGATAGCATTAAATTATTATGAAAATATTAAAGAATCTGAAAAAGATTTAGAAAAATCTTTTAATTTTCATAAAAAAGCGGCTGAAAATGGATTTATTTACTCAATATATAAACTAGCTTTATGTTATGAAATTGGTAAAGGAACAGATATAAATTTAGAAAAGGCATTTTATTGGTATCAACAAGCTGCAAAAAATGAAATTAAAAGTGCACAAACTATTCTTGGTATTTGGTATGAAAATGGAAAAGTAATAGAAAAGAATTTAGATAAAGCTTTTTATTGGTATCATAAAGCAGCAAATGGTGAATGTAGTTTTGCACAATTTAATCTTGCATTATTATTTAAAAATAATAATAATTTAGAAAATAATTTAGAAAAAGTATTTTATTGGTGTCAAAAATCAGCAGAAAACAAAAATAAATTTGCACAAAATAATCTTGCATTATTTTATAAAAATGGTGAAGAAATAGAAAGAGATATAGAAAAAGCATTTTATTTGATTAAAAAAGCAGCAGAAAATGGATATAATTTTGCACAATATAATCTTGGTAATTTATTTTATTTATATTATCATGGAAAAAAAATAGAAAAGAATTTAAAAACCATTTTATATTGGTATAGTAAAGACATAATATACACTTTCTCTTTTTATTATAATATAAAAAATTATAATTTTCATTTATACGAAAATGCTGCAAATAATGAAATTAAAAATATACAAAATAATCTTGGTATTTTATATAAAGAATGGAAAGAAAATGATAATTATTTAGAAAAAGCATTATATTGGTTTCAACAAGCTGCAGAAAATGGATGTATTAATGCTATGTATAATTTAGCTATATGTTATCAAAATGGTGAAGGATTAGAAAAAAATTTAGAAAAAGCTTTTTATTGGCATCAAAAAGCAGCAGAAAATGGATTTATTAATTCAATGTATAAGTTAGCTTTTTGCTATGAAAATGGTAAAGGAATAAAAAAGAATTTAGAGAATGCTTTTAATTGGTATCGAAAAGCTGCTGAAAATGGAGATGAAAATGCATCATATAATCTTGCATTATTGTATGAAAATGGTAAAGGAACAGAAATAAATTTAAAAAGTGCCTTTTATTGGTATCGAAAAGCTGCAGAATATGGATGTATTTATGCAATGTATAATTTAGCTAAATGTTATAAATATAGTAAAGGAACAAAACAAAATTTAAAAGTGGCCTTTTATTGGTATCAAAAAACTGCCGAAATGGGATTAGTTAAAGCAATGTATAAATTAGCTTTATGTTATACAAATGGTGAAGGAATAGAAAAGAATTTAGAAGAGGCGTTTTATTGGTATCAAAAAGCTGTAGAGAATGGAAGCAATCCTGCAATATATAATTTAGCTTTATGTTATGAAGAAGGTGAAGGTACAAAAAAGAATTTAGAAAAAGCATTTTATTGGTATCAAAAAGCTGCAGAGGATGGAAATATAAATGCACAAAATCTTCTTGGTTATTTGTATGAAAATGGTAATGGGACAGAAAAGAATACAGAAAAGGCCTTTTATTGGTATCAAAAAGCTGTAGAAAATGGTAACGAATTTGCACAATACAATCTTGTAATATTATATAATAAATATCTAAAAAAAGCTTTTTATTGGTTTCAACATGTAGCAGAAAGTGGGAATAAAGTTTCACAACAAAATGATAAAGACATGGAGATGAATTTCGAAAAGGCGTTTTATTGGTTTCATAAAGCTGCAGAGAATGGACTTATTAGTGCGCAAAATAAACTTGGCATTTTATATGCAAATTGTCAAGAAATAGAAAACAATTTCGAAAAGGCTTTTTATTGGTATCAAAAAGCAGCAGAAAATGGATCTGTTAATGGAATGTATATGTTAGGATTTTGTTTTAAAAATGGCGAAGGAACAGCAATTAATTTAGAAAAAGCTTTTTATTGGTATCACAAAGCAGCAGAAAATGAAAATAAAAGTGCTCAAAATGGTCTTGGTAAGTTGTATGAAATGGGTAAAGGAACAGAAAAGAATTTAGAAAAAGCATTATATTGGTATCAAAAGGCAGCAGAAAATGGAGATGAAGACGCACAATATAATCTCGCATTATTATATAAAAGTAGCGAAGGAATTGAAAAAAACTTAGAAATGGCAATTTATTGGCATCAAAAAGCTGCAGAAAATGGAAATGTTAGTGCAAAAAATAGTCTTTCATTATTAAATGAAGATACGGAAAAGAATTTAGAAATGTATATTTCAGTAGAAACTACAAAAATTTTAAAAATGCAAAATATTTTGGGTAAATATTTTATTTTAATTAGAATAAAATGTACATATTGTTTATAATTATTATTAATATTCCTAATCTTTTATTTTATTAAAAAGGTAAAAGAAAGCTTGAAAATTATTTGAATGTGAGTGAAGACAATGGTATAGTTTAATGCTCAATATATTTTATTTTTATGAAAAACGTTATTCTAGATGAAGACATTAATTAAATATAATAAATACTTGAGAATAATCGTAATAAATCCAACAAAGTATAGAAAGCATTTTTATTATAGATGTTATGATAATGTTATTTCTTTATTCGCAATATTACTCACAATCATTTTCTAAAATTTCAACAACGATTTAGGATACATTGTCTTTAAGTCGAAATATTTTTGGTATAGATAAATTTAAAGTAATTCGTAATGAGATGGATTTTTATTACTTAATTAATTGATAAAAAATTTTCAATTTTTACCTACTGAAATTTTGCGTTCAAAAACTTTTGACATTTTCAAAAGGATATATTTAAAATTTGAGGGGTTATTGAAAATCTCATATTTTATTAATTATAAAGATTTTGATGAATTTTGTCACCTGTCGAAATTTTTAAATAAACCATTTGGCAATACGTCAAAAATAGTTTTTTTTTTTGAAACCTGTCGAAACCTCAGTGTTTTGGCAAACAACAGTATTGAATGACCAGTTGTAAATATATATATATAAAGTACTGTTAATTCTGAAAGTAATGGGTTTTTTGCGAAATCAAACGCAAGCTCATTTAAAAAATATAGATTTCTGCTGGATCACTTTTTATACATGTACACATTTATTGCATAATCCAAATCTTTTTACGCGATTAAAATCTTGAAATAAAAGTTAAAATAAAAATAAAAATAATATTTCGTTTAATAAAGAAACATAATTAATATCAAACAAGAGTCATCCTTATTATGTATTTACAACATTCTTTTATTAGATTTCTTTTAAAACATAAACTTGACTAGCTAAATTAAAATATCTAATATACGTGATTCTAAATTAAAAAAAGGCACTTGTTATATGATTATCTTTATAAATAATAATTTTTCAGAGCATAATTTTTGATGCGTCTAAATCATCCGATTATGATGGACAAAATGAAAAAATGTAAGATGTTTTATTGCAAACTTAAAAAGTAATAAATTTTAGATATGGGAGCTTGTCAATAGGAGGAAATCTAAAAAAAATTTTTATGAGTTAATGTTAAATGGACTTATTTACTAAAAAAATCATATTTAGCATATTTAGCATATTTAGCATTTAGCATTTAAAGTAAAATTTTAATTTTATTTTTAGATTTCCTTCCTTTCTATTGACAAGCTCCATATGTACCTAAAATGCGAAATGTCTGCAAAGAAAAGCTATTGTTGAGATTTTTAGCATGTAACCTTAAATAAAAATTACACCACCCTTGAAAACGTACCGGACAGAAAAATCATAATTTATTTTCAATATATTAATGCAAAATGTGTTTATATTCGGTCAGGTTCTTATAGTATGGGCAGAATAACGAACTGAAAGATTCAACTGTAAAAAAAAAATGCAGTGACATACATTTATTTAAAAAGAACAAACATTTAACATCAAGCCTTCTAAAAGAAACATCCTATACAACACCTAACTCCAAATCTCACTTTGTTTATTACTTTATGTGAAATCATTTGGCAAAATTTGTCTTCCATAATTGCTGTATAAAAAAGAATTTGTTTACAAATATTTTATGAAATACTTGAGAAATAATGAAATAATCAGATAAAAAGCATAAAAATCAGCAAGGGTTCTGTTGTAATTGGCGATGAGGGTGGCAATTGAGATTCTGTGAATATTAAAATAATAGCATTTAAATTTGCAATAAACTTTAAATAGTTACCTTCTTTAGGAAAAGAAATTCGCACGTGATACGAAAATGTTTAATAAAAAATTTACGGTAACGCATAGTAAAATGTCGAAATTAATAAACTTAGAACTATTCTTTAACTTAAATAAGTAGAACTAAGCAAAGCACATTCAATCGATATTGTTAGCTGTAAATACAATTCAAAATTGTTAAGTTTTTTATTAAATGGCAAAAATTTAATTGAAAATAAAGAATATTATCATGTATGTTGGAAAACCAACCATTAATTACTGATTTGCGAAGACACACATTTGTTAAGATTCATGTATTGGCCGGCTTATAACTTAAATTTTTTTTTTATAATTCATATTTTAAAAAGTTTCTTCTTACATTTCCAAGTTGCTTGCAAAGAATCTTGCCTCCTATTTTATGTTTTAAATGAGCATATTTTTAGAAATAATAAAAGTAACTTCCGAATTATTACATTTCATAAATAACACAAATTAATGATGTATTACTTTATCTTTTAACTAAAAAATTTATATATAAACGAATCTTTACTTCTAAAATTATAGAATTTTAAAAAAAAAAATTTCAATTCGATGGTGAAACCAAATGATTTTATCGAAAATTATATAAAATGTTTGATGAAATTTGTTTGTTACCGGCATATAGTTAGAGCTTTGCAGATCAATTGACCAAATGGGTTAGTACGTACGAAAATCACGCTGCGGAACTATATAAATCATATGGGTGGTATGCTATTAAAATTGAGGTACGAGACATAATAAATCATATGATCCGTACATCAATTTTAATAGCACACCACCCATATGATCAAAACCTATGTAACAACCCAAATTGTCCTCCGGTCATTATATTACGTGAACAAAAAGGTTCCTGGACAATTAGTCCTTGCTGGTTTTTATTATAAAAGATCGCTTGATTAAAAAATGTCCCTAAAAAAATAGGAAGTAGATAGTTTTAGTTAGTAATTTCCCCTTTCATTGTTCTTTAATAAAATATGATCTTTTTTATAATATTTTTGTAATGGCAAAATCCGATAACTGGTAAAGTTTATGGCTGTGATTTAAAAATATTGACATAATTGTAGTGTAGAAGAAATTTTTGATGTAGTTTAATTGAAATTAATTATACATTATCTATATATCATAAAAAAGAACGTTAAGAAAACGTATAAATGCGTATACAAATGTCCAGAAAGTGTCAACAAAAAGGTACCACCGTTTCTTGTTCAAACAGCTTAATGAAAATTGATGTTTGTATTTTTTGAGTTTAAATCATTCGTATTAACAAATTTTTGAATCTTTTGACAACTCAAATAAACCAATTAATATAGTTCGAATATGAACTCATTAATTTATACTTTGAACTAAAGAAGTTAGCTTTGAAATAGAAAACTTTAAAAGGTTCATTGTTGTATGTTAAATTTATTTATTAATGAAATATTTTTAGAATAAAAAAAGTAAAAAATTATATTTGGTGAAAGAATTAGATTAATCGGTTCATTAAAATGTAATTATATGTAATAAGCTTGTATTATTTAGAAATTCTTTCAATTTTTTTTTGCTATTGATTTTATCCATTTTTTTAAAAAAAAAATGCTTTAATTTGAACATATTATTCTCGCAAATACGTTAAATTAATGATAGTTACGCAAACAATGTTGTTACAAACACTTAACCATGCTAAATCTCATATACGATAATGTCATATCTTAATGTTCCCGATCAGTAATAATCAATATTCGTGTTTTCACAGAAATCACCATTTATCAATTTACTAATAGTAAGATCTATTGTTTGAACAACCATGAAATTATCAGTATCATATTTTGATGAGTTAAATATAGATCAATGTAAACTTTAAACTTTAGTCTAAATTTATGCATAGCATACCTCCTGCTTTAAGGCTCTCATTTCATGCAGTATATTGCTATAGACAAGATATTAAAATGAAATTACCAAAAGGAAATATAAATTTATATAAATAATGGAATATTCTCACATTTTGTAAATTTGCGTTGCGTTAAATGCATAATCTCTTATAATCATTATGATCACTTTTTTTATTGCTTGAAAATTCTGCAAGAACTTAAGTACAATAAAATTTGATTCGAGAAATACACAGATATCCAACATATTCCAACTGTCTCCTTAATCACCATAAATTTTATTAAATTAAATTAATAATTTAAATAAACAATATATTTTTTAAAATGATTTTTGAGTTTTATGATCATACCTTTCCGATTTCTCTAAAATTACCAGTATTGCCAGTTTATAATTTAATTCATTTGGTAGTCACTGCTTCTCATCAAAACGTGATAAGCTTGTTTAAAATTCGTATAGATAGTTAGTTCTCCGGACATCCATGGATTTATAAGCATGTTGGTAGTAAATGGTTATAACATTATGCTATAAATCAAAGAAAAAGGTTTAATCCATATGTCGGACTTTTGGATCTTAACAAACAAGCCCAATATCAACAATATACATAGATAAAAAAAAATATTATATTACTATTGGTTAGAATTCAGCAATTATATCTTGACCCAAAGATTATTGGAGGGTGGGAGTATTGCGTAAGAAAGACGTACGAGAGAGTAGGAAAGGATTATTTTTTCATATCATCATTTTAATCTCTGCAAAAACAAATTTCTAGTAAAATAATAATTAAATTACGTTAATGTTAATATCCAAAAAAAAAATTATCGTTAATACTTCATCTTGTTTCGGAGGTCACATTGCATTGCAACTATATATCTCATTATAGAAACTCATCATCAAATAGTCACTCAATATTTTGCACGATGATAGATTAGCTAGCCTATAAATCTCGCGAACGACAATACTCATAAGTATTATATTTAAGTTTTAAAACCTTTAAATTGTATTTACTGTAAAAAAAAAAAATAAAAATAAAAAAATTATGTACGTACACACTAACGACCCGCAATTTCATGTATTTTATATTATAATATACTTTAAAGATATAATTTATTCTCATATTTTAGGTTGATAACACACTTTATATTATTTCTTTTTTTTTTGTTTTTACTAATATAAATAATTGGCGAACGTAATTTAAATATAACTTTTATTTTGTTTATTTAGTTTTTTCTCATTCGGTTCAACCGCGTTTATCAAATATAATGCTTATTATTATTTTCATTTGAATTATTCCATTCCGGAGATAGAAAAAAATTAGTTGATATTATCATCTGTTCCATAATTTCTTTTATTTTATTACATTTGTCCCACACACTGTAAAAAAAAAAGTTCTTCTTCACCGAATCGAGTTTGAAAGGTTTTTTGTATTTGTTTTAAAAAAAAAAAAAAAATTGGTTATTAGCTTATGCCATGTATCCACTCCACAATACAACCCATGACTGGTATGAACTAAATAAGACGTAAGAAGATATCCTGTTGAAGACTCTTCAGTTCAGAAAGTCGCCGTAACTCCCTTCATCATAACATCTACTTGTTCTTATTAATATCTATAGCCGTAAGACGATACTCCAAGACCAGGTATTCCTAGACATCTTGAAGCTCATCAGTTCAAAAGGTCGCCGAAACTCCCTTCATCACATCTACTTGTTCTATAGACGCTCATAAATATTTTTTCATCCCAAAAGATCCAGTAACCGAGGGAAATCGTTTCGGCTTACCTTTTTCAAAATATTTTCCATGCCATGATTAGGTTAGGTAAGGTATTGGGTTATAAAAGTTTACAGGAAGAAGTATTAAAGAGGTATGAAAGGAACAAAGAGGATGAGGAAGAAGTATTAAAGAGGTATGAAAGGAACAAAGAGGATGAGGAAGAAGTATTAAAGAGGTATGAAAGGAACAAAGATGACGAGGAAGAAGTATTAAAGAGGTATGAAAGGAACAAAGAGGACGAGGAAGAAGAACATTTTATTTTAATTTTTATTTGAGAAAAAATAAAAGGATTTGAAAGTGCCGGTCTAAAAAACTTGGCATTTTTATACTCATGAAACACGTATTTTTAAACGCGTGATAAATTTGGAAATTGTGTGGTGTAAACAACTAAATAAAAAACATGATCAATTTGGAAATTATTAAAAATAAACGCGTGATAAATTTAGAAATTGTGGTGTAAATAAATACATAAAGCGCGTGATCAATTTGGGAAATTATTAAAAATAAGCGCGTGATAAATTTAGAAATTGTGGTGTAAATAAATACATAAAGCGCGTGATCAATTTGGGAAATTATTAAAAATAAAAACCATCAAAAAAGGCTCAGGTCATGTGATTGTCCGAAGCGTAAGCGTAGGACTTTTCCGGTCTGCTACCAATCAATCAGATTTCTTTTTGATGACATGTGACATTTCTGATTATCTTGTGTGACATAATAAGTAATATTGTTTAAAAAATTAACGTTATTTTAAAAACTTTTACGAATCGTATGTTTATTATTGTTTTTTGTTAATTAATTAATTTTATAATTATTGTCGAAGTATAAGCATAGGCTTTTATTTATTTAATTTATTTAAAGACTTTTTTCCAATTTTTTTTTTAAATTATATTTATTAAATTTTAAGACTTTTACCAATTATTTTTTAATCCTTATATTTTTTTTTTTTGATCTTGGAATCCTTAATTAATAAAAAATAATAAATTGTTAAATTTATAAAATTTTCATGTAATTCTACTTAATAAAATTGAATAAATAATAGCAAATTACCTTGATATTTCTAGCTTCTAAAAATTATGAACATAAATGAATAATAACCCACTTTTTGATACTTTATAAAAATGAAAAACAGATCCAATAAAACTTCTAAACAATATGAAATTCATTTTACATGTGATAGAAAAAATAAATGAATAAAAAGAATAGACACAACTGCTGATCAGGGATGATGATTTTATGCTATTACATAATATCACATTAAACGCATAATTATGCGATAAATGCATAATTCAAGTTGATCGCATCATAAAATCACATAATTTAAATTATCCCTTAACAGAACGCATAATCCGCAGTAAAATAAATTTAATTTACTATGATCTGTGAAGTACAGGATTATCAGGTCAATAATCTTTTTTCTTTTATGATGTCAAAAAAAAAACACATCAGTTCATGCTAAATGTAGTGAATATAAAGACATTTTCTGAGTTGATGACAATATTCTCTTTTGTAATTATTGCAATATTTCTGTGGATTGGAAGCACAAATCTACTGTAGATAATCATTGCAAAAGTCAAAAACACATTTCTAATGTAAGAAGTCAAGAAAAAACTCAAAATAATAATATACAACTTACCATTTCGTCCACACAAGCGGCTGCTAAAGCAAAAAAAAACTTATTGAAAACCTTATAAAAGTGTTTGCAACAGCAGACATTCCTCTTGAAAAGGTCAATTCACTACTTTTATTTTTAAAAAACATGTTAAAAACAGTGGTTCTATTCCTCAAGCTCCTACTCTTAGACAAAATTATCTACCTAATATTTTTGACAAGCATTTTCAGTCACTTAAATTACATTTTGATTTAAAATCAGTGGCTATAATTATGGATGAGACCACTGATGATTGTGCTTGAAATGTTGTAAACACTCTCTTTTGTTATCACAACGAAACAAAATTAGTTTCAGTTGATTTTCTTGAGCGTGTAAATAATATCACAATAGAACAAGTTCTTACCACTATTCTCACTCATTTTAATATATCCTTCAATTTATCTCATCTATTTCTTACAGACTCAGCAGCATATATGAAAAAATGTCATTGTGAGGTTTTATCTTTATTAATGCCACAATTAATATATGTATCATGTTACGCACATATTCTTAATCTTATCGGGTATGTATAATTTATTTTTATTTATAAAGGAAGGCAAATTTCATAGCATGACATTCAATATTTTTGTATTTTTTTTATTTCAATTATTTTGTTTTTTAATTTTCAAGTTTAAGTATTTATATAATTAATTTAATATGAAAAAATTTTAATTAATAAAAATAATTGGTTTTCTTAACTATATAAGAAAATTAAAGGGATATGTGGAGAACATTACCCCAATTTAATATTTTAAAGTCTTTTTGGATAAAATTAAAGAGGTTTTCGTTAATTCTCCTGCCTGAAGAGATAGATACTTGGCTTATTTGAAAATGCATGGAATTTCCTTAACATACAAAATTCCTTTATATAACAAAACACGTTGGAACTCTTGGTTTTAGATAGTTTCATATACAAAGGATCATATTATCTATTGACCCTCTTTTTTTAATGAAGAATTCAATAATGATAAAAAGCACAACAACACTTTGGCTGCTGTTAATTCTTGCTTAGAAAATAAATGAGAATTAGGAATAATCACAATCTACCTTAATTTCATTTCTTCTTATGCTAAAGAATTCATTCAAGATCTTGATTTTTTCCAACAATTAAAAAACCTGTTTTTCTTTTTGTAGAATTACGCCTTCAACAACTTACTGTATATATGAAACATATAGGAATTCTGATAATTTTGGTCTTTTTTTAAACAATTTAATTACTAATTTCTATTTTAATACATATGAATTTTATTCCATTTTTTGAGCGGCATTTGAGGCAGCTTATGTTAAGTTTGCTGTACACATTCCTAATCATCCAACTCAGCCACTTTTCTATGCATATCAAGTATTTGATCCTAAATTTATTCATTCTGGGGATGCTTTATGAAAAATATTCAACAATATAATATAATTAAAGAATTTGATAATCCATCAGATGAATTATTATGAGAGTAGAAAATTTACTGTGGATTAGACAATAAAATTTTGGGCGAAATGGAATTAAATCAATATTGGACAGATAAGGCAATACAATTGCCAATCCTTTTCAATATCGTAATAGATTATATTTGGTTACCAATTTCAAGTTATTCTATGAAAAGAAGCTTTTCAATGTATAATTCTCTTTTAGATAGCGATCGTCAAAACTTGTCTCAAGATTCTCTTAAAAAATTAAATATGTTATATTTTAATGGTGTTAAAATTTAAATAAAATAAATGAAATTTTAATTATAAATACTGATATTTTTTATTTATAATAGCTTAAATGCTTGATTTATATGATTTAATCACACAATTTTTCAATTTTTACTATAATAAAGTTGCGCATAATTTTACATAATTAAAATTTTTGCGCATAATCCATGCATAATTTAAAAAAAATGCATACTTTAAAATGCATATTTGGCTTTTGTTGCATACATAATTCATGATTTATTGACATATAAAATTCTTGTCCCTGCTGCTGATCAGTGTAAAATAAAAATTATAACAATAGACATAAAAAAAATACTCATATTTTAAGGAATATTGACAACTACCTTAATCAATAGCAGAATGATACTCAAATACAAGATACTGATAAAATTATCTATCTGAATCAGTTTAAAAACTCTTCCAAAACTTTTATTCTAAAATTAATAACCTTAGTAATAAGTTTATCTCATATATAATAAATGTTTTTCATTTATCAAACTAATATGAAAAGTATAACATTGATATAATAAGAATTCACTAAATAATTTTCTACAGAAATAGTATAGATCCAGATGATATTTCAGAGAAATTACAAGACTTTACTGAAATAAAATAAATGTTGATCACATAAAATTTTCCAATCATTTTAGTAATTATCTTCTTAACAGTTAATATGTATACAATAATAACTGTGCTAAAGATAGGCACCATAATTAAGAAGTTGCAACTTGGTAAGTTACAACTTTTTGTAAATTTATTTTAATATAAAAATTCATAAAATGTTACAACTTAAAGTGTTGCAACTTAAGTTGCAACTAGTTAAAAATTTTAAAAATAATTATGGGAACCATCTTTAAACTGTGCTATTTTATATATCACTAAAGGGAGGAAAGACTTAGTTTCTAATTAAGTAATCTGCATTGAAATAGTTCAATCAAAGTCAACACATGTTAAAAATCCAATTCTAATTATTTTTTTTTATTTATCAGTTGGGTAAGATCTAACAAATACACCAATTAAAGAAGATAGATATAGTTTATTAAAATTTTCATTAGTCAAATTGATTTTTTCTTTGTTTAGGCGTTCAGGAGAAATTTTTCCCTGCTGTAATAAGCAAAAAATAGGGAAAATCATCTTTTCGAGTGAAGTTAATTATGTTATTTTTTTCAGGTCTAAGTAAGTTTTCAGAAGTGTCGAAACTTTTATCTTCACTATAATTAACAATTAGTAGAATAGATAGTTCAGGTTGCTTTCCTTTATCATTAGAAGTTGAAGGAACTAGATTTACTTCCATTTGTTTTTCTTTTATTATATTTTTATAAGTGTTATTATTTATAATAGGCATTGAGTAGTCTGGGTATCTTGTTTAAGTTTCTTTGATGTTCTTTCATTAGTTGGCAAGCCAGAATGACTATATTGTGTTTTTTTACTTGGATTATATTGTTGAATTTTTTTTTTACTTTTTACTTGCTAAAGCATAGTTAAGTGAATCAGCAGAAATTGTTTTTGAAATATTCTTATTATTATTTATTAAATTAATATTATACAAATAACATATTCCAATTGATAACCTTTTTATCAAATTTATTTAATACTCATAATAATATTTTATATTAATAAGTAATCCTGTTTAATTATAATAAAAAAAATTTTTATTAATATGAAATATCCCAATTAATACAATTTATATAAATTTAAATATATTTGAAATTTTACCAATTTATTCAGTATTTATTAATTAATTTATATTATAAATAATAATAATAATATATATTTTTTATATAAAAAAATTAAAAAAATTAAAATCTACTGATTTTTATCTATTATTATAATCTGTATTGCTACTATTATACTCAGAAGATATTATACTTTTAATTCTCTTCTTCTTATTAATTCTACCTTCATTATCATCATTATTTTTATCAGTTTTTTCTT